CCCCCCCCCCCCTCTCTCTCTCCTCTCTCTCTCTCTCTCTCTTTCTCACTCTCTCTCCTCTGTCTCTCTCTCCTCTGTCTCTGTGTATCGCTCAATTCTCTTTTTCTTTGTTTGTCTCTGTCTTTCTTTCTCGGCCGTCTTTATTCGGACTCCGAGTCTGAATAACATTTTTTTCATATTCGGACTTGAGTCCGAATAAAAAAATTTCTTATTCGGGCTCGAGTCCGAATATGAAAAAATGTTATCCGGACTCGGGTCCGGAAAAAAGGAAGTGTCTTCGTTCTATAGATCTAACGTTCAGTGCTTCCAATTTTCCGCCATTTTTTAGTTTCCCCCACACCTTTTCTGCCGATCCGATGCCCGCCGCCTCATTGATACGCCCACCCCCCATGTTTCCCACTTTCTTTGTTGTAGTAAAAGGTAAAATTGAAGATTAGCAGACCACCTGGCACCTGCATATTATGAGCTGTGTAAAAAAAAAAAAAAGACCAATTCGTTTAAATACACAAGCCTGTGTCATCTCGATTGTTTACCAAGAAAAAGTTGTGTTGCTGTGTAGAGCTGAGCATACGGCAACTTTTGATTCCATAGACCAGCGCACAATTCATTACATAAATCTACGTCAAGACTAGCTTATTATTGTAATAATGTTCAGTTGCCGGGGGGTAAAAGACTGACGCGTATGCGACGTTCAACGCCCGGACCGATAGTGCCCCCCCACCCCCTCCCCGACACGCACACACAGCCACACGTGTGCAGGCCGGCCATCCGACCCCGACACACGCTAATGAGCCATCTTTAATTGCTTCTGATGACCTCTTGACAAATAAACATTTATTAGAAGCGCTATAACTTTTCAGGCCGGCCTCAAATTCATCATAAGATAAAAACTCGGCTCCTGCACAAAACGCCATTTTGCCCGAAGTGATCCTGGTCTCTACCCAGCCAGAGGCGAGTCACGAGTGAGGCAGGTCAGGAAGCGGGAGTCACGAGTCACAGGAAGTCGGAAGTGATGTCATGCTGGACAAGAATCAGAGTCGGAATAAAATTTTATCATATTCGGACTCGAGTCCGAATAGTCACCTAATTCCCACTCTATCTTTCTCTCGTTCCCTCCTGTCAACTGGGGCATGTCATATACATTTTGCTAGCACTTCCCCCCCTGCTCTCTTTCTTGATCTCTCTCTCTCTCTCTCTCTCTCTCTCTCTCTCTCTCTCTCTCTCTCTCTCTCTCTCTCTCTCTCTCTCTCGTCTCTCTCTCTCTCTCTCTCTCTCTCTCTCTCTCTCTCTCTCTCTCTCTCTCTCTCTCTCTCTCTCTCTCTCTCTCTCTCTCTCTCTCACACATACACACACACACTACCGGGTCTGGGGGCTGAAACTTTCCGACATCACGAAAGAGTTCCCCTACCGGGTCTGTATACTTCGTGACTTTGTTCCCGGTTACCGGGTCTGTATACACTTCGTTAAGAAAAATCCTCATGGAAATGAGTTCTTTAAAGGGCACAAAGAGAGTTGGCCCCACACAGCAAATTGAGAAACAATACACCACCCTGGGGAAAAATGCCAGTTTCTTCACTTTGGATCGTTTGAGGGAAAGGTGTGTGCACCAGAGATGCCTCAATAGAGGTTTTTTAAATCTTAATATTAACTGAAGAGTCTAATTAAGATACGGCGAGAGACAGAGTGACGCCCAGCTGTGGGAAGAAGATGGACATAGCAAGAGATCTAAATCTAGAACAGCGTGCGGTGTTGCTCATCTTTAGATACACGACGCTCATAACCGGCGGAGAGGAGG